GTTTGGGACTGTCAGGAAAACGCTTTGCACCTCGCAAATCATTTAAGCACCTCAATCTGACGCTTTGAGTCATTAACAAAGTAATCCATTAATCTTCAAAGTTTTGACACCTAGGGCCCCCACATCTCAGACACATAAGAAGTTTCACCCAGGCAGGAGTTACTGGCAGAGAGTCCTGCTTTTTTCCTGGGGAATAGCACTTCCCCTAAACTAGTTTACTGCTCCCGAATTGGCATCTCTATGACACTTTTGCTTTGGGGGGAGAGAGTATATACAGTATGGAGAACAATTGGCCGCCGATCTCTGAGCCCATTGTTTAGCAGGATTTTCCGCTGCAGCCTTGCTCCTATGGGAAGAATAACATAGAAACAGCTTTATGGTCATGACTTTTCACTGCAGTTGACTTCACAGAAGTGGACCATAATATATCTATCTATAGATATAGATATAGATACTGTAAATATCCTAAGCAATCTAGTGCTCGCGTCTGCTGACATGTTTTGCTTAATAACCGTAGTAGACTGGGTCTGGTGAGTATGTTCAGTTGCAGGGAAATATATTGGAAGGTAGTGTCAGATATGTATATAAATATTAATACGTCAGTGGAAAATGCTGCAAGGATTCTAAGTTGAATAACTGAACATGATCTAAAAGCATTTGCTTTGTTTACAATCGTTTTGATTTACCACTTACAAAGCTATTAAACTACTGAACGCTGATGTTTTGAAACAATCTTTCCAATCAAATCGAGAAGAGTGGTAAAAATATGATGCTAATGGCTACATTTATTATTTATTATTATTATTATTATTATTATTATTATTATTATTATTCTTCAACACAATGAACAAATCCGAAATTTTATTTTCCACAGCACACAGGACATATCTGTTTCGTGTAGCTTTTTATATTCAAGATGAAAAACATCACTGTTGTGTTTTTTTTTTTTTTTTTTTTTTTTTTTAATTGGTCTAAGGAAGCCAAATCAGCCTCGCGCTGGCAATAGCTGCTCTATTTCGGAATTGCATTGAAAGGAATCGCCAGAATCTTTGTAAGCGGTTCAAATAACAAACTGATCATTAGACCTCCACTCTATCCGAGGTTGACCAAAACCCTTCGGTTTGAAGCTAATAAATCCACAAGATGAAGTATATCTGGGAAAGGCTCGGGAGGAGGAATGGGGTTGGGGCATTTTAAAGGGGGGTTGTTTTGTTAGGTTGTTTAAATAAAATATAGAACAAGACTTGTCATTTAATACCTCAAAAGGGATGCCTTATAAATATAGATGCTGTTGGAAAATGCTGGGGGTTTAATTTTCTTGCTTTTACTCCAAACAAAGCTCTGGTGATGCCTGCGCGTGATCAATCTTGTCCGCCAAAAGGTTTGACAGCTACTGGCCCTTAAGAACACATTTAAACCTTCTTGCTCTTTCCAAGATCAAATGTGACCGAGCAAAGAAGGAGAGCAAGAAACGCAAGTAAACAAGGAAAAGGGCTCCTTTTAAAAATGTACTGTTACAGGGTTATTCTCAGTATTGTGGGAACAGTACGTTTCTATTTGGCTTAGTGCTGGGGGTTATTTTTCCTTTCAAATATTGGAATTAACAGTAGGATGAAAAAAGCAATAAAGGGAGAGAAAGAGGGAGATTTGGAGTGTAACGAGGCTTTGTAAGTAAAAACCGTGTGGGTGTAGGTATCCTGCGCATTTATTTGTTTATTTATTTATTCTATTTATTTTCTTGTGGTCGGTGTAATACAAAAACCACCTGGAACAAAAGGTTTTTCTCTTCGGACAATGAACGTAACATACTTGTAAAAAATCTATTACTCTACCTTTATAATTATGTGTTAATCAATAGATTTAAAAAAAATCCACTATAGAGATCTAAAAATTAAAACAAACAAGATTATGATATATTTTTTCTGGAAAGAGTAGGGGAAATTGCGCTCATATATATATTTGGAATGAGAGGGAGGGGAGTAGAGAGCCAAATTCTTTCTAATATTTTTATAAATTTAATTATCTGTGCTAAAAGAAGCAACACATGAAGAATTCATAGATTCTGACATTTCCTTTGATTTTATTTAACCTGCCTAAAACAAGAGTTGTTTAAATAAAACAGAAACATTTCCAAAATAATCCTTTCTGGATTTATCAATTGCCAAAATATATTTTCTTCCTCTTCAGATTAATGTTCTATCCTAGGTCAGTTTTGAATATATATTATGATTCAATGAAAAATATCAGACAGATTCTAAGCAACCTCTTCTTCAGTTGAGGTATATATATATATATACTGTATATGTATACAAAATAAATATATACAAAATCGCTTTCTTTGATTGAAATGTTATATATATTTTTGCAGAACACCTATATATAGATTCATGGATACATTATAATATTTTCAACAAACTTCAAGCAAGGATGATTCTCAGAACAAGATAAAGACTCACGATTAATAATATTTTAGAGTGAGACCAAAATGGCGACATTTTTCCTGTGCATTAAAAGGTACAGATACTGAAAAGCATGGGTTAATATATACATGGCATATGTTTATGTCTCTATATACATACATGAGTATATTTCACCCGAGTCTATTAAGGTTCACCCTGATTTATAGCCTGAATTTTAAAAATAAGGTCACATAGTATTATGAAAGAAAAATCTTATTTTAGTATGTTAATTTGCTTCTCTGGTTTCCAGTTAATACAGATTCCTATCGGAATAGCTTTGCATGTGACTAGCTTGCTAATTTATTATCGAAAGCCGTGCAAAGAGTAAATATTTTACAATATTGCATTTTTTAACCGAAAGCTAGAGCGCTCTTGTCTCCCCTCCCCCACCAGGGCCAGAAAAGGGAGGAGGTGAAGTCGGGTGGGAAGTCAGATTAACAAAAATGAAAAAACACAAAATCGGGTCTTTTTTTTTTTAATCATAGACGAATAGGAAGCAACATATTGAGAAGAAAATATTCCGAACTATATTGTAATCCTGTTTATGAGCCTGAACTAGCTTTGCTTCCAAAAAGTGTAAACAACCCTAAACAGCTGGTTTATTCTGGTTTCTTCTCTAGTGGGATGATGAACTGTATTTCTCACTATTACATTTTATTTTTAATTTGTGCCTTCAAAATATCCATGTACATGATCTTATTTTTATTCTTCGCTCTCTTTGCTTTATTTAATTTCCCCCTCCTCCCAGCACAATGTAACAGTCGATGAATTGTCTGTTTTGACCCTGGGAGGAAAAGTGTGGGAGTAGAAAGCTCCCAGCTTTCCAAAGGTCCCTCCAGTGCAGAGGCGAGAAGAGCCTTTTCCATACGGACGGCTGTTGGTGAAGTGGGTTCCTGCAGGGGAAAAAAAGAGCCCAACATGGCGAAATCCAACATTCCTAGAGCAAGGACCAGCTTACCCTTACGAGCACTGTCTCGGGAATCACTCTGTTCGGCGCGGGCACCTGAGTTATGTGGAGCAGTGTTGTTTGCGAAATAAACGTGGTTTTGTTTCTGACCCAAATAAATATTATTCAGACAAAAATATCCTCCCCATAGCAGAGCCTGTAAGCATGCCTGCAGCTCAGCACCTAACGTTATGGACACAAAAGGCGGATCGTTTGCATCCTTGGTATTTTCAACGCTGAAACTGTCACAGCTCATAAGACATACTAGGATTTGCCAATTCACTGCAGGTTTTAAAACCTTGATAAGGAAAATAGAAGGGGCTGGAGGTTACGTGGGTATCGGATACGTGTGTGTATCTGTTCACTTAGTGATCACATGGCTTGGGTCTTTTTTAACAAATAATCGTTTCTTAACTCTTTATTATTCAGAATAAAAACTTTATTTTTTTTCAGAATGTGAGCAGCAAGGAATGTATAACTTTCAAAACAAATCTAGTCTTTTCAGGTTTACACATTTTCCATTTAGCTGGATGTTACAAGCATAAATTATTCAATTTGTGATCCATTTTTTTCAGAATTTATTGCATTATTATATTTTTAAATAAAGGAGTAATAGTTTCCTTTCAAATGATATTTCCTACTTATGCCAATATGCCATCTAACATACGGCCAGGTAAATACCTCCTGAATATTCAGGGTACAAAATTTTATATATATATATAAATATGAACAGATGGGGATAAATAAAATTTTAAACACTTAGATTATTCAATGTTTTCAAAAAAAATATAAATTAATCTGAATGTTCACCAGCATACACACATTGAAAGACTTAACACGTATTAATAATTGTCCAGGGAGCCCCTGTTCAAGCGCCTTTGATTTCTTTCTCGCTAGTTAAAAGAAGTGCAATAAAAAATTGCTTCCCCGTGGGATCAATCATGTACGAACAAATTCACATTTCAGAATTATTGTTATAGAAAATTTGTTCATATACCCTGTTTTGATAAAAGTGTAGAAGTAAAGTATAAAGCCTATGTATACTCCCAAAGCGAGACACAAGGCTACAGTTCAAGAAGATAAATATCCACTATTGAAACTATAGAGCAATTCAAGCAACAAATATTGCTACGTCACATAAACTATAGAACGCTTTACCAAACCAAACAAAACAAAACAAAAAAATAGAGGGAGATGGGAGGGTGGAAAGTACTTTAAAAAAGTTGGGGACTTCATTCCACTTAGTAACTCATGTCTGTTACAGATGGGTGAGTTTGGGCGCTTCCTGAATTCTTCCCTGAGAAGGATGGTGAGAAGTAAGGTCTGTGTATGTTGGGTGTGGATCACAAGGTCCATGGTGGTGATTGTTGCCCATTGGCCCAGTACCACTGTAGTCCATGTTGGCAGAGGAAGGATGAGGGAGATGAGTTAGACCAAAGATGGAAGGCCCAGAATTGGTCATGGTGTCCACATAGTTGCCCCCCACATAGACGGGGCTTCCCTGTATATGTGGATTTCCATAACTGTTGCCTTGAAGAGGATGAGTATCATATTCAGGAGTAACCGCTGCTGTCCCCGTGTATCTCTTTTGAGGAGGCGGGCAATTATTGAGAGGAGCTGGATATGATGCAGGGATGCCATAGGCATTTTGATGAGGCTTGTTAAATGATGGAGGCGACTGGGGCTCATAGGGAACACTGTTTACTAAAGAATGCATAGAGTTTAAATACCCCCCAGGAGCTGGAGGCACAGGACTTCTGCTTGGGGACTGTCCTCCTGAAGAGGTCATCATGCCCTTTCCCTTTTGATCCTTTTTATATTTCATTCTGCGGTTCTGAAACCATATTTTGATTTGTCTTTCTGTGAGATTGAGCAAATTAGCCATTTCTACCCTTCTTGGCCTGCAAAGGTATCTATTGAAGTGGAACTCCTTTTCCAGTTCTACCAGCTGGGCACTTGTATAAGCTGTACGTGCTCTTTTAGAGGAGGCTTGCCCTGGAGGGCTTTTATCACCAGCACAGCTCTCACCTATGTAAATCACACAAAGAATACAATCAGCATGGTGGAACCTGAACACAGTAACCAGAAACAATAGAAGCCATGGCTAGGATTAGTGTCTGTAGATCCCAGCTCTCTGGTATACAAATATCCTAGTGAAACATACATATTTCTTTCTATAACTAAAATATGCCAGGCTAAAAGCATTGAACGATTCACCATTATTTTCCTTCACCTTTGAAGTGTCACTATATGACTATAACTGCCTCAATTAAACACAACACTAAATATTGTAGTTTACCTGAAATAATCCTTATACAAGAAGAAAAGGTTTTTAAAAAATGAGTCTTATGAACTCTTTAATGCAAAAGTCTGATTATATTTTATATATTATTGTTGGTTTCCTCAAAGCAGTCCAGAGGATTTAGATATTTCCATCAATGGAATCCTCCAGAATGGTCTGAAAATCTCATCATACACACATGAACTCTGTGTGTGTGTGTGCACACTCACACTCATGTGCGCATGTCCCATATATACAAACAAAAATATAAATATAAACATATACATGTAAATATAAACATAAATATAAATATATATGTAATATGTATACATATATATAAACACATTGCTTTTATGAATAAAATAATACTTGACATACAACGTTGTAAATGATAATATTATCAAACCATAAGAAATACATGAAAGAAAAATTTGTTAAAGTTTTGGAATCTACTTCCACAATACACAGGAAATGTAGGAAGTGGTAAATATAAACAAAATATCTGGGAACAGAAGCTTATGTTATCGATTTAGGTGTACTTGTGTAATAATAGTGTTGATATACACTATAATCCCCCAGTAGTATTTTTATGGACCTAACTTTATTTTACTCATAACTGATCTTTGTTTACCAGACTTGTAACTTTGCCAATCAATCTGCTAAAATAAGAATAGGTTCTGAATATAAGTAAAGCATTGATCCTGACTGCAGATGATAATGAGCTATTTTATTCCAGTTACACTTCAGCAGGGCTAGGTCACTGTCTTATTATTCTAATAGCACTATGCCAACAAAATATTCAGGATGTGCCTCTGGCTAGAGGCCTAGGCCTCTATATATTGACATCATTTAATAGAAGAGGGAACATAACCTGTGGAATGGAATGTTACAGACTAAAAGGTAAATGTTATATCAACCTTAGACACTAGAAAATAGAAGTGCCTGGAAACTAAATAACTTAGAAATAATTTGCAAGGCTAAGTTTAACATTTTACAAAAGTCACTTTAATGCAATCTAAAATACTTTCTAGAAGATACATGGTTAAAAAGTTATATTAGAAATAAGATTACTAGCACAATATGTTTTAAAAAGATGACATGTCTAGGACAAACTACAAATACCTGATCCCACAATTTGGCCTGTGAGGCTAAGTAAGTCACTTATAATGTAAATACATTTCATACCTGAACTGGAGCTGCTGTTTTTCTGCTTTGTATTTTGTCGAGACTCTTTCATCCATGGGAATATTTGTTTGGACATGGTGGGTGAGTTAATAACTGGGCTCTTGGTAGTGTTAGTTGGGGCAGAATTGCTGCTGGCATTTTGAGGTGGTGAGACAGAGGGTGGCGGTGGAGCTGGTGCCTGCTGGGCTGGAGGCTGTTGCTGTTGCTGCTCTGAAATAACTGGGGGCTGAATGGGTTGGCTAGTGATGGTCCTCATGCAACTCTCATTGATTTCATTGGCTTTATGGTGGGACACAGAACTGCCAGGTGACTGTAAAGAGCAAGCTGGTCGATGATATTCAGTTTCCACAAGTGATGAAGATGGAGGATATTGCTGCTGACTAGCATTATAAGTGAAACCATTTGCTCCTTGGTAGGGGTAGCCACCATAGATTGCAGAGCTGTCGTAGTAGGTCGCTTTTTGCATTTCGTTGTTTCCCAATATTTATTTCACAAACTGACAGGGTCTTGACACCCTTAAAGAATAACATTGGCACCCCTCTGTCACGTGACGTTCTTCCTCCAATGGCCTCTCCTGGTAGACCTAGGGTGTAGCGAAAGCACACTAGAGTGAAGAAATAGTACAAATCCATCTTACTTTCAATAGCTAAGTGACATGAAAGCCATAAAAGAAAAAGTGGTCAGCAATATTTAGCAGCATGACTTGGCCTTAGGCTAAGAGAATTTCGATATAAAAGCTGCCTGAATTTACTGGCAGCTACAAATATGTGGTTTACTGCACCAGTAGAAGGGTTTTCTAGGGTTTATAACACCGTGAATTGTGTTTTATCATTTATCACACAAGGAGTTATTTAAATACAACGCTTCCAGATAAGGGTGATCAAGGAAAACGTATGTTACACTAAGGGAGTGGTTCTCTCATTCACTTTCACTGCTGTAGGAGAGTAATAAACCTTTCTCCTGTACTTCACAGTAACCACTGCCATCTTATTTTTAATATTTATATTGTGGTTAGAGTTTGGATAAGACTTTTTAATTTCACACACACACACACACACACACACACACACATTAAGTGGGAAAGAAAAAAACTATGTCAAGCCTTTCCATTCAAGAAGATCCACACGCACACAGTCTAATGCATATTTTGTTTGTCTATAAAATACTTGACAAAAACAATACAAGCTGACACACATTAAATGGAAGAAGCAGTACTTGCAGATTAAGCCGGTACTAATTTCGATATTTAATACCAAACCCACCTCATGCACATAAATCAGTTTTAACTGCAGTGAATTTTTAAACTTGGACACAGATTTGGCAACGAGGACCAAACAGATTTACAAAGCCATCAAAGTAAATAATTTGGGGACTGTTCTCCAGTTGTCACTTAGGAGTTTTCTCTCAAGTGAGCCTGGTAGAATCGGCCTGTTTGGAATTTCCATTTCTTATGTCTTTCACTTTAAAAAAAAATCCCAGAAATGGAATGTTGTTCTCTAGGAATGACGATTATAATCAAAAGTTCGTAAGGAATCAAGACACTTTTTATAGTTATTTTGGAGCTACTTCTTTTCATGGAAACTACCAAATTCTACCTGTTAAAACATGATGGATTGGAAAAAACACCAGGAACCTGAAAAACCAGCGTTCATCTCCATGACCACGGCTTGAACTTTCCTTCCAACTTAACGATAATAGGTTCTGTCTTTGAAACTGCTATGTAATTTGATGTATGAGGGTCATTTGGCTAGAGAGAGGGGATGGACACACAAACCATAAAATGCTCCTACAGCCCGTGCGAATCTTTTTTGTTAACTCATGCTGTTTACCTGCCTGAGAATAACCAGTTAAAGATGTGTCCTTAGTAATGGGAAAGGAGATCTGAATGTTATCTCCAATCTCGGAACTCTTACACACACATTATTTTCAGAAATTAAAATCCTTTTCTCTACCTCCCACCCACCTCCCTGTTGCTGACAAACAGCTACACCAAGTCAAAAATAGTGCTCTACACTCTCATGTTGCTTGATTTTTTCCAAGGCACCTAAAACCACATGAGCCTTTGGGGAGAAAGTGTTACACAATGTACACCAATAATTACAAATATATGTATTTCAAGTGATACAAGTTACTTAGAAAGGAACGGTCCCTTTCTTTTATGATAGACTAGTTAATTTAATAAACCCCCAAAAGGCATTACCATTTGATTTTTTATTAATTAAGACCCATGGATGTTATTGAATTAATAAGCTGGTCAAGATCTGTAAAACATATACTGAAAAGCATATACACATAGATTTATTAATTTCCAGTTCTTCAATTATAAAGCACAACCACCTCTCTCCCCCCCCCCCCACCCCAGTTACTGTGCCTGATTCTTAGGCCCTAAAGTAGGTTTCATTTGGTTCCCTTGAAACATACAGAGAAATGGGACTCAGTCTCAGGAAAACAATACATTAATTAAATAATAGTGATCTTAGTGTCATGGTCGCCCATTTAAAATGATTCACTTTATTTTTGACATTTAAAAGTTTGTTACAGGGGGGAAATGCTGAGTAGAAAGTCTGGTGGAGAATATTTCCAGAGCTCTGCAAGGAGCTAAAACAAAAATAAAAAGCAACTTGATTTTGAGAGAGAAATATTTTAGGTTCTGGTAAATCTAGTTGCAGACAGAGCAACTCAGGTTTTGGTTTCCAGAGTTAAGCAGCTTCTGCAAAGTTATGGAAAACTGGGAAGCTGTGGGTACAACATGGCCATTTATCTTGTTTTAAAAGTGCCAGAGATACTAAAACCAGGGGAGGACAAAAGTTTGTCACTGAAACTGGTGCCTGGGCTGCCAGAAATGTTTCTCTTTTACACATTGAAGACAAAGGGCCTGACTCTGTTCTCAGTTATACCCGGGCGACCCCACTGACTTCAATGGGGTCGCATGGGAGTGAAAGCAAAATTGGGCCCCAAAAACTTGGAGTGGCCCTTCCCCCGACAAGATCAATATTTGCGCGTTAAACAAGTGCCACTTTAACAAGCTCTCTGAAAGGTAAAGAAGACACGGAGGAAAGTTGCCTTACTAGGGCAGATCCCCCACTTGTTCCCCATTTCTCCATTATTTCCCCCTCCCTGATACATCTAACAAAATTCCTTCCTTCCAACCCCGCTCCCCCCCAGCCCGAACTCTGATCCAGGAGAGAAAAGCAGGCAGCCCCTAAAGATTTCCTGACAGATAAAGAAAAGTTCAGGGAAGAGGGAGAAACTGCCTGCATGCGAAGTGTAAGGGTATCAGTCACTGCCTGGGAGGAAGCTCCCGCTTGTGAACTCTTCTTGAACCGAGATTTAAGTCTATGGTCATAAATCACTGGGACATAAACTCCGCCATTCACAACTGATAGCAGCGTATTTGTGGCCTGCTTACCTTAACTTCTGACGACTGAGGCGGAAGCCAACATGCTCTTTGGAGGCTCGGCGACACACAACCCAGGGAGCAGGACTTTCCCCCAGCCAAGTCCCTTCGGCTCCAGGATGGGCACAGGCTCAAGTCATCTACACCAGGAACCCACCAGCCAAGACTGGAGGAGCACTCACTGCTCAGGACTCGCAAGGGATTGCTGGTTCGGCTCGGACCCCCTCCCTCTCCCTGCTCAGCCCCTAAGGCAGCAAGCGGGTCCCAAAGATAAGAGCTATCAAGTCTCAGGGCTTCCCTCATGTAGTGCCACAGAAAATGGGTATGTTTCTTATGAATATTACACGCAAAAGACGTCTGGTGAGGGGAAAAAAACGCAGCCGCCTCGGGAAGTCCGGGGCAGGGTGGGGGTTGCAGAGAAGGAATGAAGGAGTGAGAGGAGAGAGGGGAGTGAAGGAGTGCAGCTCCCCCCGCACCGAGGCGTCACTAAAGTCCAGGAAAATTATGCTAATGAAGACAAACGGCGCTCACAAAGGGTCACTCTGACCAGTTTTTTGTGTGAATCGGTTTTTGGTAGATATGGAATATTCTCTACACGAGCTCACGAATGCTGAAAGTTATGGGAGACCTAGTCAGTAATAATAATAACAATAATAATTAATCTGTGGTTTATGTCTTTCATCCAAGCAACTCCTATCAGATCTGTGCTCTGGGCAATGCTTTTAGTGGAACGAATTAAATAATTATAGTTAGTAATTAAACATATACACACGCAAATAGAGATGTACACATGCACACACACCCATATAGATATCCACATATATCCACATAGATATCCAATACTGATATATTCACCTATGTGCAGATATAGATCTACGCATACATACACATAGATATACCTATAGAGATATCCACCCATATGTGCGTGTATATACTTTCACGTATGCACACACATACATTTGACACACACACTATGCCTATGTTGGCACACCTATCTGTATAGATTGCTGGGGTGTATCTGGAGGGTTTATGTTTTGAGCTTCAGTGCTTTAAAAAAAAATAACCCAAATTTGACAACAGAAATATACGCGCGTCAGCAACAACCATGGAATTCCTTTCGGTTACATTACAGTTCGAATCAAGTTTAAGACTATAACCCCGCATAAAGGAGCCGGTTTGGGTGAAACACATTTAGTGGAGATTTAGAATAATTACGAGGTGTAAATTTGTCGTTTCTTCGTTAATTAAGGTGTTAAAAATATAAATACTATGCTTAAAACCGCAAGGGAGCACAGTGTCACCTTAAAGCGAAAACAAAGCAAACGACAAATAAAAAGCACTATAAGGCCAGGGTGGCCTCTTATGCATACCAATGGTTTTTGTCATTTATGGCTATACAAGATTTATGGCTTCATGCACCAAAGCTGTAAACAGAGCACTAAAACAGAAAACACTTGCTCCTTATGGCATATTGCGATGGCACAACATGAAAGGGGAAGTCGGGCAGCGTAGGAGGGGAGAAGAGGCAAAAACTCACTCGTATGCATTTTGCTTTAAACAGCCCCTTGAATGTTGCATTTGAAGAAAAGCTTCTTTAGTCAATAATCAACCCCACACTTTTTTTCTGAAACTGCTGATTTGTCTTTCTCCCTGTTTCCAGCTAAAATTGCAAGATGCAATCAAAGAGACCCCTACAGAACCCCTACAGAACACTCCTAGAGCAAATAGGGGAAACTGGAAGATGGTTACTTATACATCTTCAAAAACCTCCAGACTCAGGAAACAGTGCCGATTTTGGGAGCTCTTCAGGATACCTCGGGACTATTTGGTGTTTTAATATTAGCGCGTTTAAAGTTTGGACTGAAATATGTATTTTGTTTTGGAAGGGGGAGGAATAAGGGGAAGATTCTTTGTTCTAAATCGTGGGAATTGTTAAGGTATTTTAATTCAAGAAATTAAATGGTTTATTGAGCTACTGCGGTATATTTTTTCTTGATACATTTTACTGTATAAGAAAAGAAAGTTACTTTGCAATAACTCTAGACAGGTCCTGTCTTTCTCGCTACGCAAAGATGTAATTTTAAGGTGCGCAGGTGATTTTTCTTTGTATGACTGGATTTGAATTTGATGTAACACATAAAAATGCGCATATTAGCACTGAATGTTATACAAAGATAAATGCATGTATCTTTCACTAACAGAGGGCCGAAATTCCCTCCTTCCCTAATACCCCACAGAAGCCAATGGGACTGCAAGGGTTTAATTTGAGGGAAGAATTTCCTCTATATTTGGTTAAATATTTGAAATTTGAAATTTAATGTATTTCTGGAGAGTTTACATTGAACCGGAGTTCTCTCCACTCACGGAAATGTTGTCAGTCTCGGTGTAAAATAGCTAATATAAATCTTTATTGGGTCCGTTCTGGCAGAAACGCCTAAGATTATAAACGATTTATAATTTCGGCATATTTTAGGGGGAAATAATTGGTGGGAAGAATATTCTACCGTCTTCAAATTGGGGAAAGGAGAGAATTGAAGAAATTACTGATAAAATGTACATTAAAGTAATTACACTGATAAGCAAGGATGTGAGTTGCCTTAGAAAATGAGTGCATTATCAAATATTGCAAACAAGCCTGTTTAATCTGCATTACCGTGTGTGTTATCGAACACCATAAAATCGCAATTGACACTTCATTTTGTATTTACTCAACACTCTGATTATTTACACAAGCAGAAAGGCTTTCGAAATATCCATCTACACAACTGTTCTTGGTCTCCCACGTTTTATATTGGGACTTTTTTTTATTTATGAGTGTTTTAACTGGGTCAAAAATGCACCAGAATTGGGTCGTAAATCATCAGAAACGATGACAAGCAATAAGGCTGCAATTAAAGCTTACATTTTATTTTCACGACGCGTTTTTGGCCCGTTTAAAATATGGTTTGACCTGCTTTAGCTTTAAACACACTGTTGGGAGTGAAATAGCCCTGCTTTAATTGCGTAAGAAAAACACTATGGCTAATAAAGAGGAACATGCTTCGTTATGTGTGGGGGAATTGGCATTTCTTTGGGTCAGTTCTGTTCGGAGTGTATCTGTTGGCAGCTAAACCCAAATTCTACATTTCCGCTTTCTGGAACCGTGCAGAATGGCCGCGAGTCGTTCTAAATTAAACTCTGCCTTTGTGTTTCAGCAAAGAACGTTTTGTTTCTAATAGTTCGATTTTTTTTCCATGACCCGCTCATAAATTGAGTAATTACAACTGCCCAGTAATTTGGGACAAAATGACACAGCCGTATCTAGGCGAGCACGCTGCCCCAACTCACTGGAAACATAAATCAAACCTCAGCACTCTGACCTTTCCCAAAGCTGGAACTCACTGGTGGATGTAATTTTATATAACATTTGTCCCCTTGTAGAACACAAGGAATCCCTTCATTTTTGGGTTATTTGAGGTGCATTTCCCCCTACACAATATATGTAGTTATATAGCGCAGGTTACGACATAGTGGTAGAGATAGGAAATTTAGTGATCACGTAAATCCTTACAGAAAGGAGATTGTCCCCTCCCCCCTCGCTTTCCAGATCCCTTATTCAGAGTAAAACAAATTTCCAGAGGCTGATTTATTGTTAGAATCGGTGGATGGACATTTGTTCATAGCCAGATAATTCTTAGCTAAATCCAGGTTTGGTTTCACTAAAGAAAGAAAGGCAATCCCTTCTCAACTGGAATTGTTAACCTCGATATGGTAGAGAGCTAATCCAGCCCTGCTCGCATGGTAAACAAAGTACCACTAAGCATCATAAATAAAATGGCAGCACAATTGCATACTCATCGATTTTCGGAGCCGGAATCGGCAAAAGAAGCACACAGCAAACAAAACAATAACAACAGCCACAAATCGAACCCCGACTCCATTCCAGGGGTGTTTCTCAATCTCCTGAAATACTCTTGTATACACAGATATGTATGTATTACAAGAAAAATAAGATTCTCCCAGTCTCCACTTGATCGTAAAAGACAACAGTAATGTAGCTTTAAAAGAGATTTAACAGAGGGAGATCCCCATAAAAGAAACACAGAATCTCTAGGGGGAAAAAAAAGAAACTCTCTGGTTTCTTTGCTGCGAAGAGATACTTGAATATTTTCCGCAGCAAATTGAAACAAAGGGGGAAACGAAGCTTGATTTGGATCCACGCACACCCTTAAGCCTTTTCTACTGACCTTTGCCTCGACCAGCAATAACTCACCACATAAATGAACAATCAACGGAAATACCTTAAAATAAAATCCATCCTTTTTAACGAAGCATTTCGTCCTATCAGCTCGACAATAACCTTTCCATAAGGAACGAAAGCTGCAACCGAAATGGAAAGCTCTTGCAGAGGAGAGGGAGGGAAAAAATAATAGAAAGCAGTGCTTGCTCTGAACAGAAACTGGAAAAGCGTAATCACAGACGAAGCCAGCCCGGGTCTCCACTCCAAATGCCACAATAATGCGCTGTATTATGTGCTCACGTGGTCATACGTCAACTTAAATCCTTTTATTTGAAATAGGGAATCATTGAAGGAACAAGGTTTCTAAGCGCAATCCTCTGATTTTTAAAGCCTTAACCAAATACATTAAGAAGAATTTAAAGAAAAAAATCAGGAGCCGGAGATGGTTATTTTTTTCCCCACACTTAATATTTCTTTACACAAAATCACATGCAAGGTAAGAGAAATTATTTTCATATTATGTGATTACAATGAACTTTTATACTAAACCTAATTAACTGGCATTTCCCAAACAAAACCGCCACACTGATCTACATTTAATAATGGTGTGTTTTGCAATCCAATAATAAAGTCAACTCTTGATACTATTATTTCAATAAGGACCTCCTTAATGACTACTCTGATTACCAATCTTCCCTACAGGCTTCTCTATATTGCTATTGTATGGCGCTTGCTTAACACCCACACTTTACAACAGGGCAGCTATAGAAACTAAAAAGACCTGCAATTACCTGACAAAGGCAAAAAGAGTCTCCTCTAATAATGTGGTTGATTTTTGTCGTTGTAACACCCTATGAAGAATGCGCCTGGCTTCTGTGTGGAGGATCTGAATTTTGCAAAATCTTCTGGGACCTTCCTGTTAAACCTGCGCTTACGCATTTCCTATACAACTATTTGAGTGATGCACAAAATTATAGGCTTCTAACGATGAAAAATTTAGAAACAAAATGATCTAACTGTCCAGGAAAAAAAGAAACAGCCCTCATATACGTCCCCTGAGTTAACCTATGAAATGAACAATTTTCTAACCTGAATGAAGTCTTCCCTCTAAAACTTAGTTTTTCCTATTTACACAATCCTACCACAGACAAAAGAAATCACAAATTCAAAGAGCTCTTATAAAGATAGTTGGGGTAAATAACATATTTCACACTTGTATTGTGCTACTGTGCCACTGTGGTGACTTTTACACTCTGAATTTCTTACCACCATTGTGCATTTTACAATATATCATTTGCCTCAAACCTTTCCCCACTCTAGCATTTTTACAGAAAACTTTTAGCTTACTTTTTATATTCTTTTATCACTTCACCAATACTTGATTGGCGATAATAAGACTGTATAAAAAGATTAATTTTATCGTCTACAGACTTTATGGTCAAACTGTATATAATAATCTCGCTTTGATTGTAAAGTGGAACATAAACGGTTATTGGAATTTAAACCACCAGTAATAGTATAGATTAGTAGACATTCCAACAAAGTCAGCGTGACATTAAAACAGAAGAAGAATTTGCAATATTTGTAGTGGAAGTGACTTTGATAGCAGTAGAACATTTATATATTATCCTCGCTAAGAACCTTGAATTTAAAAAATCCTGGAAAATATAGCATCTTAGACACACATAGCAAATGCAACTCCAGAACTCTAACACTATTTTAACTGTATAGCAGAGTACTACATTTAAACCAATAGTGAAATTTACTAGGGATGGATTCATGGCTATTTTAAATAAAGTGATTTTAGATTCCATAAAAGAAACACATAAAAAAAGTTCTTATGCAACAATGCAACTGGAAGTAATGGATAATGGAGCAGATGCTGAAAAAGCACAGCAAGTCTTCCTTGGGTCTGTTGTAAAAAGTTATCGACTGCTTTGCATCAAAAGCAGAAAGATGGCTTTAGAACTTGCAGTCCTGAGCAAATAGAAACTACAAACGCAATAAATCACAATCATAAGTCAGAGGTACATCTTAAACTTAAATGCCTTAACGCGAGCTATGACTATTGGCTTCAAAAACCTATTTCTATGAACATCTTTATTAGAATTAATGATCAAGCTAATGTTAAAACTACAGTTTAACAATTAACTTATTGTATGTAGTGGATAATTATAAAGTAAAGTAACTTCTTGATGTATGAATTACTTCTTCAGGATGTGCTTTAGAAGAACGGGGAGACTTTCTAACTTTACCGGGTCCTGGACCGCAGCTGAAAATAATTCCCTTTCAACGGTTCTGGAATTCATTTTCTTTGGTCAAGTATCAAGATTTTGAGTTTTCAAACACAAATTCAAATGGACTTGAAAGTAGCAGAGGTTTGGTTTGCCTTGCCATCCAACATATTGCTTTGTTCCTGGAGACTCAACTTTGTTTTATTACCTCAATGATTTGGAGCCCTGAAAAGTTTGTTTTAAGAGCTGAAAACCTTACGTTTCTCCGAAGATTTACTATTGATTTTTTTATGCTTTGTGCACATGGCTTTGCGTTGAGATTCCAAGCAGCAATATCAACAAACAGCTGTTTTAAAATATGTGCTAATAAAGAGAGTCCCTTTGTGATAGATTTGAATGCAAATATTAGTATTAATAGTCCTTTTAAGTGGCTACATAAATCGAAATATTCTTGCTCTCTGTCTACCTTTCATTGTTATGCTTATGTCACTAGTTAAAAGGTAAGACTATCCCCTTATGTGAATGAAGAAATGGAAACACTATTTGATATAGATTTTTTATTTCCGTTCTCTCCCAGTTGAAATTCACAGGGCAAAGTTGTTTACCTAGAAATATGTATTTGTTACTGATAAAGTTAGTTCAACTGAATTTTGACAATTCCTTTTCAGGTTAAAAGAAAGAGTGTATTTTAAAACGATACAACCTATTTAAAGACATTTTTACTGAAATTGAGTGGAACTTGAGAATATATGGTTAATTTACAAATCACAATTATTTCTGGACAAAGGTATATATGTGGGGCAGGCGGGATAAAATTATTATTCTATTAAATAATGCTTTCTTTTTTCTTTTCTTAAAATGGGAATGAATGGATATTTGCCGTGTCTGTTTGTAGGAAGGATTTCAACAGGCTATTAAATCAACACAAGCAGCCCTTGTAGCCCTATAATTTATGGCCGCCTTTAAAAGGTAGTAAACTACACTAATTATGTATCAGCATAAAACATAAGCAGGTAAATCTGGCAAGGATTTGAAATAGTTCTATATAATCCTTTCTCTTCTACCACTGCCAGAATAATATAGTCACCATAAAGAGCATTACATTTCTTTGTTTAAAAAACAACTGAATCACGAAAGAAACATGCACACAATGCAGAGAAGTCCAAATATATATAAAATACATAAAACCTATGCTCCTCTGGTGTATTTTCTGAAGCAAAAGCCAGAGTTTCTAAAATCAAAGAACATTTATTTTTATGTTCCTAATTCCAAACCACACAGGAGTCATTGCAAAACTACTCAAGGGAACCAAACAAAAAAACTGCGAAAGCCACCCAACACTAAAACTGTTTCAACTACCTGTCTCTTGCTTTGAGACTTCGATTTTGGAAGGAACTAAGAATGGACAAAGAAATTACCAACCTCTTTCGCTCTTTAAATTACTTTGCATCTTTCCTGTTTCGAATGCCTCTATGAAGACTGCTATTAATTCTGTTCCATATATTTCTTTGTCTGTCGAGACACTCGCATTCACCAGCCATATAAGATGAATGGATTCAATCCGGAAAATTCCAACTAGGTTAAATATTTATCACAATAAAATCTCATTGTAACAGCATCCCCCTCCACCCCCCATATGCAAGCACTAGGAAATATGAACTCTACACAAAACTATCCCACAACAGATTTTTTTCCCGAAGTCCTTACCTCCTAAAATTTCTAACAGTGGACTGAATTGTTTCTTGCTGTTATCGCTCAGTAAATCGTCTTTTTCGGTGCACTGGAGTTCTGTAAATAAGCAACAAGCAATGCCTAAATGAGAATCAGAAAGGAAGATATTTATTCATACAAAAAGTATTTGGTTTGCTTAATTCTTTTAAAAGACAAAAGTCGTGGATGTGCATAGAACTACTGAAGGGAATCCATTGATTGGTGTAATGTGTAAAAGATTATTTTATACAACAGTAAAGAACACTGGTATCTGAACATGCCTTTTGTGGTAGACTGCTATGCCTTCTGTCTCCAAGTGTTTGGAAATATTGTCATTCCAAACTCTTGTTACATGAATGTATGCTTTATTTTCCTCTGGGAAACCTTTGTTTAGGATCATTTAATCAAGAGCAGACATTAAACACAACTAGCGATGTTCATCTCTGTTGAATAAATCAAGGAAGAGGTTCCAGTTTAAATGTAGGACACGGTATACTAGGATTTTTATTCAAATACTTAAGGATTCCAGCCCGAATCTATTCCCATTAAATTCTATGAGAGTTCTGCCGTTGACTTCAATGAGAGCAGGATCGAACCCTTCAACTCTTTAATAAAAGCTGTTGTGGAAAAAGAAAAAGACGAAGCAGAAACATTTAGCACTTCGATATTGTAATTTTTTGTCGGTCTTATAATATTACAGACCCCAAGAAGCCAATAATCATACTCTTCAAATATTTTGGATCACATTTACGAAGGTATTTATCAGATATAATAACGTACTCCATGCATTCATTATTCCTAATAAAATCCTATGTATTGTATCTTAAGATTGCCAGCAAATGTAAATGCTAATAGCTAACTAACACGATTTCTTGGAAGAATGTCATCTGAGCCTTGGAAAATATTACGTCTGTCTTGGGAGAACTTTTGGAGAAGAGATTTTTGCTTTGCTAATTTAGTAGCTCCATAATTACTATAATAATTTGAAATTTGGTGTAGAATTACAGTCTATAGAAAATAATGCAATAATAGCTTACTGGGCTGTTTATTTCCCTCTCATAAATTTAGAGGGCTCACTGATAACATCTATAAACAAATTGAAAGTTAATTTTTTCAGATAGCTATCTCCAGCTTTAATTCGGTTGCCTGCTGTTTTCTTAGCTCTGATATTCACATCATTCCAAAAATACAGTGGGGGCATAGAATACTTGTATTTTATGTTAAAACTCGTTCTTTAACCATTTTGATCCATAATCAATAATCATGTTATCAACTACAATAAAATTGATCCGAATGTCTTGATTGGATTTAACCCACCCTCCCACCCCCCTTTAAAATATAGAATGTGCATCTGAAAATGGTGCCAACGACTTTCTGCTATTTATTTTGGAGCTATTAAGTTACACCACAATATTTTATACTGCCACAGTCCTTTAAACTATACTTCTTCTTGAAAGAGTTGCTAAGTAGCAATAAAGCACTTTACAAACGTTATGACTTTTTTTTAATTTGTTGTTATCCCAAATTCTAATATTCATTGCGGCACTTTAACTTCGTACATAAATCGTTCAGACTAATGAGTCATAGAGAAATTTGCCCATGACTTTTCCTTTACAATGCTTGCTGCCTTTCCATTGCTTTTTTGGCCCTGCATTAGAAGCCGGTGATTTATTAATGCCAGGAAAATTGAACAAAGCAGTCTTCCTGCACTGTGGTATCCAGCCTTCCACAGTGTGAATTAGAACATTATCAAATGTGTTTGACTCGGTAACACTTAATCACAAAAAGCCATAATGTGACCACAAAGCAGCTAAAACAAAGATTTAACATTTCTAAATATTAAACTTGCTAAGTAAATACTCAGCAGACTTCAACAAAGTTAGCACAAACAATTACAGTCATCAAGCTATAAATATACACTAAATACTTACCAACATAGTCCCTACTGCTTTCTTAAGAAGTTTAGAATCTTTCAAGACAAATCGGGGCTTTTTAAAAAACTCAAATAGGAAGTTGAGTTTCACTTCAGAGAGAATCACTCCTAGTGAGAACTGACGGCCACAGATCCATTCCTGACTATCTGCATTAATTATTTAATGAGTCACGTGACCTTAAAGATTAAAATTTCAATATCTACACAAGAAAAGACGCAACACCTTTATCTACTTGTGCAGGGTTTCTGTTTTGCTTATTTAGGTCCCATAATCTCTGTTGGTTTTGACAGCTTTTCAGTTTCTTGGGAGATCATTTGAACATTAATAACATGTGCTTGTCTGCTATTGTGAGATCAGGCGTTCTATAGACCTTAGCTTTAAATTAGCCATTTGATTTCGGATTTTTATTGTCTACAGCAGACTGTGTTAACATGCATAATTATAGTCCATCCCTCTTCTAACAGTTATTACACTTGATAATATGATGACAATACTGATACCAAATATATTTGCCCTTCTGATGCCTTTAAAACTGACAAAGAATTGGCTCACCACGGTTTATCAATATTCATGTGGTATAGGAGGTCTGGGAAGAATTCTTTTGCTCTGCCATTTGCACATCTCGTGGGAAAGTATAATAAAGAGTTAAAAGAGAGGTTTCCTTTCTGTACTTAGAAAATACACACTTAGTGGGCTAAATGAATGCCTTGCATAATTCATTTGACTTCAGAGATATTAACCCAGGCGTTCATTTGAACCAGTGGGCCTCATTCAGGTCTCGTTTACATTAGTGACAATAGTGAACTCAATGGAACTACATTGGTGTAAAGTAGTATATACTATGTCAGAATCAGTCCCAGTGTGTCTACAAGGAAGTGAATGTAACACCTTCTAGTGCAGTAACTGGGGTTAAAACAAAAATAAGACTCAAGCTCTTAATACTTTGTGTTCTATTAATCATATACGTATCGAATATCATATTTCTCATACAACAGCAACACATCTGAAAGGATGCATATAATTGTAGCTGTATTGGAGTACTGTTTTCAACAATCTCACAAATTCCGCAATAGGGTGGAGAATGAATACAAAAGAGAAATCCGGATATATGTGCTTCAAAAAAATCACAGAAAGAACCCCCAATCTTTTTGTTTATTACTCTTCAAGTCGATTCATGTCATGGCTGTCATGGAATGGTATCATAGAGTGTCCTAAAGTAGAGATGCTAACGCAGCGATGCTGCCAAGCTTTCCTGGCGCCAGTAGTCTGTTGGTTTCAGTGGGTCTACTGGAATGAGTAAGCGCTGTTGGCGTGACTCGTGAGTAAGGGAATGCAGGATCGGGCGCATGATCAGACTTCAGGGTTGGGATGGAGGCTCGGGCTAAGGAGAGGAAAAGAAAGATGGAGTCTCCTGACAAGCTTGTCAAGACCTCCACCTTCCTTCCTCCACCACCCATCCCCCACCCATTTACAAAACCCAAGAAGCAGTCCATAGGGCGCAGAGTATACCAAAAAATGTCAGAGCCCTGGCTAAACATTCAATGGAGAATGGTTATAGTTATTAAATACTGCGCGCTGCTTGTCACAGATGAGTTCCTCTTGTAATAAAACACCAGGTATATTAGAGATTGCAGTAGAAACTGGAAGGGAGACCTTGAAAAACTACCATTTTTCTTGGTGGGAAGGGGCGGAGGTTAACGGCTTGGCTCTAACTGTGACAATTAAAGTGACTCAGACCTGATTTTGTCTTTATTTGAAATATTGACAAACTTCCACCTTTAGCATTTTGTGCCGCTTTCCTTTGTGGCGAGAGCAGATAAATACGTGTGTGAGAGAGAGAGAGACAGCCAGCCAAAGAGAGACATTTAGGTCCAAGAGCTGGATTTAAAAGGATACTGTCTTTAAAGGTCAAGGGTTTGAAGGGTCAGTCTGCTTCTCTAAAAAAACAATTAATGGGATAGAAAATTTGTCCTTTCAGTGAACTCTTCTGGTTGCCCTAGCAAAGGCTGGACAATGCCAGAGTTTAAAGTCTGCGATTTAATTTTCTAAGTGATTGTAACACTGATTATATCACACGAGAAGCATAGTAACACTCACATATCAAACACTATGCAGCTTTAAAAAGGGGGTGGGGAACAAATGAAAATTTACCTTAAATGATGATAATCTGCCATGTGATATTTTGCAGTCCGGGGCTGATTCTCCACCAAGACAGTATACATTTTTTTAGCAGACAGCCAAGATGCTGTGTCTTTATACATGACCACATTTTTTTTCCAGGAAAATCCTTTGCGTCTTCACAGACTTTTTCCAAGAGAATGCCTTTCAGAACGGCTGTTGAATTACAAAGAAGTATTTATTGTAGGAGGTGATTAATGATACTCAGTAAAATTGCTATTTTCAGCGCGTGTTTTCATTTAGTTTTACGAAGGGAAAATGGGTTTATAGGCATAGTCTTCAGTAATAAATTATTCTCAATTAAAACGTTTGATTTGGGATTTTGATCATTTCTGCTAATTTGGTTTTAAAATAAATTGGGGGGAAATGTTCCACACAATAAACAAAACAAAGAGCTGTACGTTGCAGAGAGTCAGAGATACCAGCAGTTACCCCACTTTCAGATATATTCAGTTTCTTTTATATTGGGGCAGCTAACATGGAAAACGTTTTAGGATTTAGTAAACAGCAGCATGGTAACGGAAACATACTTTTCAGGGTGGTTAGTTGTTCAATTGAGACAACACTGTTTGCTAAACGTATTTACAACTGCCATAGCTTTGAAGCTGAATATACTCTTCCAGTGACATGTTAAATTTTTCATTGAAATGGTATGTGTTCCTGGGACAGGCAGTGATGCTCACGATATTGTTGTGCCAATGTGCTTTCTTACTGAGTGAATTGTGATATATTTAAAAAAAGGAACTAAATCTTGCTCGCCTTACTCACGTGAGAAGACTCGTCGACTCCAGTTTAGTACCTGGACATACTTTCGTGAGTATGGCGAATAAAATGTGGCCTTTAATCTTTTTCTGGCAGAAAAACAGTGGTAGAGTTTCCGCCTACAAGTTCTTCTGCTCAGTTAATACGTTTCAATGTCAATGATACTTTCGAGAAAGTGATATGAAAATCCTTATAAATTGTATACATTTTATTGTAATAATTCCACCTTTGGTATATTTCTTAACATCCTTGACAATTAGAAGGTTACTATGAGTTTGAAACACCTGAATACTGTTTTCCAGAATCATTCTGAACACATTTACCAGATTAAACCTCTGGGTTTTACCAGATTTCATTTAATTATTAAGGCTTTCTGTTTACACCAAACACTTTTCAAAATAGATGCCTTTGAAATAAAGAAACTTTTATCACCCATACAGCCCCTTAATTCTTCATAGTGAATTCACAATAAATACCAAGTGAACGAATAAATAATGACTGGCCAGATATTTTTAAAGTGTATCATGGTTAGCTGTCTTAGTTCTACTAAAGTAAATTAGTTCACTTCAGTTCATTGACTCAGTGTGAAAGCTCTATTTCTCTGTGCATAGGGTGGGAATAGCCATATACATGTAAATGAATAGACAGACTGAACCTCTGGCAAGGTTGCTACAGGCCACAAGTCATCTAGGCAATAAATAATACATATACTTGTTCAAGCAGGCACTATTTTTTGTGAAGGCAGGCAACTAAAATGAGCATCTCTTTAACTAAATTTGAAGGCAAATGATCAGCAAAGCATAATGTTTAGGAAACAGCATTACATGACCTTGTGTTTGAAGCCTTTAATTTATTTTTTTTTGTACAGAGTATTCTTTATTACCAGTATTGGCAATATATACATCACACCAAAATTCACAAATTGTACACAGACCGAAACAGTTAGACGTGCCAGATAGGAAGACAGCAACAGCCTTTAATATTTTTAAATAAATGCAATAGGAGACATGGGGAAAACGATTATATCACAACTACCGCAGTGGCTACGCTTAAAAACAATTAAATAACTCTTGTTACATTAAACATTGCCTGTCAGACTGTAATGGGACAGTTTTCATAAAATCTCCATGACATAAAATTTGGTTTCTTCTGTCTGCGTATACTGGAGAATCCACGAACATTGCACCAAACAACACAACTCAAGTCAATGTCTTACACAAGTGTTTCACGAATTATTATTTTAACTATTTTATTTTTAAAGTGTTATGTACAAAAGAGTCCTTCTTGGGTACAGAATTCATCCATTACAGCATCCAGCGCTCTGTGACACGGAAAGTACAGCGTATTTTCATAAATACGAAAGAATGATGGGAATGGAACCATTATGTCTGTACAGTGTAGACAATTTGTCCATGTTTTGGTTTCAACATGTACCCTGTACAGGGCACATTTCTTCTGATTCTGTATACAGTTGTTTTGGTCCAAATGGTCAACAACAAAAATAGGCAACTGAAAAAAACAAATATAAAAATCATTAAAGGGCTGATGAGTTGGGTGTTGACCCATCGAGTTGATGGTGGTGGCCCTGTGTCTGTGCTTTGGCTTGCTGACTAGCAGTAG